TGAAATAATCTATGTCAACTAGAATAAGTACGCCCTATGCACTATCGTATCAGTCATGTGACTTTATGTAGCACTTATATTTGCATTTAATTTTTTTATCTTTCTATTTCTATTGCGCTTGCGAACGCATGCTTTTGAAAAATGTTTATTGCTTCGTTTTTGCAAATAGTAAATACATCGTTTTAATGGGATCCAGTTGCGTAATAAGTTAACATGTTATGGGCCCAGGATTTGAAAATAAATAAGTAAATTGAGTTTTTTTCACAAAAGATGATTTAATAAGTATATAGAATGGCGGTAGCTTAATTAAATGCTTCGAGTTTGAGCGCAGAAAAAGCAACTCCAGCGACACGACTGCTCAGCTGAAATCTAGTCTATGTGGGTGAGGAGAAATTGATGAACCAACCGACCGAAGTTTGAAAAAACATCATGTGACTGTCATTCACTTTATAACACCAAGATCTGAGGTCAAAACTACATGTCTAAAGTGTGTAACTGCAAAGCCATCGCACTGCAAAAAGAAACCATGAGGACATAATGGAACAACAAAAAATCTCTGACCAAAAGTTTGTTGGGTTTGTGTCAGACGGCACATCCGTTTTGGCAGAAGTGGGGGAAGTTAGTGCTCTTTTGAAGAACAACAATCTCTTCTGAAATTTTTTCCGCCACATTTGTCACCGTTTACACGTGGCCATCCCACAAGCATTCCAGATCAAATCAGGATATGGCAAGAGTACAAGAAACTGTAAGTTGAATATACAACAACGTCGAAGTTTCCGAAAATCGTCTTCAATAAGTCCTGGATATTGTTACTTTGTTGGAGGTAAACAGTTTAACGCTCAAGAAGATAGTTCATATAAGCCGGTTATCTATGGAAGAGTGTGTTCCGCTTTCTTATTCTTTTTCTTTCAGTCTCTATAACTTTTAAAGTTTTACTAAAACTGATCAATGTATAAAAAATTTACTGACTTGAATATTTTTTGCATTATTCCTCCTCGTGACGTCCATAAGATATCATCCTCATTTTAAGTATACGATATTCATCCTCCATTGTTACTTCTCCAATTTTCCGACAGAAGTGATTTCCATGAGCAGTGACACTTTGTGGTTTTAAACCATCTTTTAATAATTTCTTTATTCAAAGGAAGGTAACAAATACTAGTAAGTATAAGAAAGAATAATTCAATAATTCAATCACCATCATCATCACCACCATCATCATCACCATCGTCATCACCATCACCATGATTATCATCACCATCATCAGCAACACCATCATCAAAAACACCATAATCATCATCACCATCACCATCACCAACACTACTAAGATCATAATTATAATCACAATCCCTTCTATCATATACATTGCCTAAAGAATCACTTCCATCAACAGAAGCGAAGTCCCCATAATTTATCCTTGTCGATGTGTTTTCATATTGTAAGAAAGCTTGGGGGAAATGGGTGTTAAAGAATGTTTTTCAACATACACGCCTCGACACCCAAAGAAAATCCAACCTTGAAGTATCAGATAATCACAACTTCAACAAACTGCAATGACGCTATAAAGCCTATAATGTACTGCATGCATAGAATTGGATTAAAGTTAATGAAACACCTATCTTACCAAATATAACACGGCTCATACAACCCTCATATTTCATACCAAAACAACAGTGATTACTTCTCCTCTTCATTTATTATTAGCAATCAGAACGTTTCAGCCTTCCTTGATGAGAGGCCAATGAGACGTGTGCTCAGAGAAACAGATAATAAGTCAGAACAGCAATAAACAACTAAAACTAAAGGTTTATCGTGATTGTAGTTAATGGAAAAGTAGCAAAGGCCTCTGCTACTTGTAAATGACTTGTTAAAGCATGTGATTTCGCATTTTGAAAAAATTTTCTTGAATGAAAAATGAAAAACACGATTTAAAATGAAGTGTAAATTTTTAACGAGCAAAATAATCAAATGAATGACATTACGGAACTCATGCAAAATCTGGACTAATCTAGGCAAAATACAAAAAGCTATGCTAAATTAATTTTGCATTCATACAATTGTAGTTCTAAGTCTGAAAGTTTCTCCTCTCTGGTTATCGTTTCTTTGTAATCAATCAACGGTGCATTTTCTCTTCATTGATTATCAGCCTCTTTCCAGTTAATGTTTTAAAGTTAAAAATGTTTATTTTATAACATACATTTGTCATCTTCTTGAATCATCGAATCATTGACAGGCGAATTCTCGTATTGATTATTCACCATTTTTTGCAATACCTTTTTTCAGCAGTGATTAATAATCATGATTTCCTGTATCATTTCTACTGTCTGCAAGTCCTATGAAAGATTCATATTGTTTGCCTTTATCTTCATTGACACTCAAATCACTGACTGAAGAATTTTGGTGTTGATCAACACAATGCGTTTGTGGAGACTTGTCAAAGGTTGAAATAGTAGGTTCCTCATATGCAGAAGGACGAGGTTCTAAGCTTATTTTCACAACATTTGAAGAACTGTACTGATTTTCATGTTTTGGTTTTGGTTCGTCATACAAATGATCCAGACTTTGATACGATAAAGGCCGGAGCATGATTTCATTACCAGATAAGTTTGTTGAATCATGTCTTAAGTTGATTTCAGAGTTTTGATCTATAAAAGGAGATGCAAAGGTTCCGTTTCAATTGCATTTGAATTTGAATGTGTATTGTTTAAATATGAAGTACAATTTGTGATTTCTTTCAAACATAACATTGTTATAAAAGTAACAGTCTTTATGCTATATATTTGACAAACGTTTTCAGCGCTTTAAAAGTACAATGTAACAAGAAATAAGAAGTTACTATACCTTTGTTTAAAATGCGGGCTGACTTTCGTTGGTCGATTGGATGGCCAGACGTTTTCTAAATAGTTCATTAAGTGCAAATAAGATTGCGATATATGCATTTTCTATTCCAAATGAATCATCAGAGTAGGGTTTTGAGTTGCAGTGGTTGAGGAATTAACTTAAAAGATGGGGAAGGGGAACAAAGGAAACAACCAAAAAAAAACTATGTTTACAATTGTAAAACATACTTACAATGTTTACAACACAAACATTTTCAATTACATGTTATTAAAATTTACGAAAAATTTTAACCCCACGTTCACTTCTAAGCATAAAGTTCTTTTGCATTTAAAATTAAATCCAGTTCATAAGTTCGGTACTTGCCCATACATAACAATATGATTGTTATAGAGCAGCGGTTTTGTCAAGACCTTGGTAAGAACGATTGTTCTCCAGAGGCTGCCCTCGCTGGAGCATCGAGATAAATCTGTAGTGTTTCTATGGCTCTTTTTAGAAAATTTCTTGCCTTTAATCTTTTGATTTAAATTAGAATGGATATTTTGATTTCATATATTGTTTTGGGTGAGAAAAGTGCCTTTTTTGGGTAAACAAATGTCTGTTTTATGTTAAAGCTATATCAACAGTTATATCATGCATTACATAAGCCTTGTCCTAAATTTGCGACAAAAGAATAAGCATAAACACAACATTATCTCTCTGTTCCTCTTATATTATATATTGCTATAGTGAAGGCACATTGCTTATTCTTATAGTATTTATATGTCCTCTTTCTTTGTCGGAAAAAAACAAAAAACTAACCCTGTTAAATCAACCCGTTCACATACACCCATCAATCTACCTTCCATAATTTAATCGTCAAAATCTACCTGTCTACCAGTACCAGTGTTTGCCAGTTAACCTATAGTAATCGCTCTTATATCAGCCTCATGGAAATAATGTATTTCGATAGAGTGGACGATTTTAACAACAATTCCAATATATTTCATATTACGAAAATTTGATCTTCCATGACTTTCGGGCCTCAAAGACAGGCTTTATTTTGTGCTGTGACTGTGTCTAGTTTACCGGACGTGTCGTACATTTAATTGTTGATTCAATAATAAAGTACACGGTTGGAGCGTTTATAAAATTTTAATTTCCTGGATGTCGTAGAGTGGTTCTGATCCTCTGAAAATTTAAGATGATGCCATTTCATTCCTCGCATCTTAATTACAAAAGATTCCCTTAACCAAAATTTAATGAAACAAATTTATCGACTTTGTCACAAATTTCATTGTAAACAATAGCGTTGAAAAGCAGCGTATTCTCCATTGTACGTCACGTGACTCATATCTGTTGAACTAGTCCAGGAATTGAAGGAAGATAAGATTTTCGTCTTATAAAATATTTTGCAAATGCTTTTGAAGTTTTTTAGCTCAATGTAAATAGATTTCCCCGAGGGTGATATAGGCATTTTGAACAAAAGGAACATTTTGTTTCCTAAAAAGGGTCAATGTGAAAAAAAGTGGGGGAGAGGGGTATTTTCCCACAATGCTCCCAATTTCGTGGACCTTGCTGAGCATCGTGTAAAATGTGTTAACTGCTTCTACACTTAATGTCAATCGTTTATTCCGACTTTCTACTCACCATTTTTTTGTTTTTCTTCATCCGCCATCTAAAGTGATAACACAACAAGAGAATACAAAAGAGAAACAAAATTGCCGCTATTGCATAGGGAATAACAGTCTTTATACGTTTTCCAATAAATTTGCGTGAAGAACCTGGAGAGAATAGAAAATCCATGTGAGCAAATAATACTAATATAGATTTAGCAAGAAAGTAGTTTTAGCAAAATATTTAATAACAGATGACAGGTGCAGTAATTTAATCTAGTTTAATAATTTTTTCACACCAATAAAATAATTAACAACTTCATTTTTACTATTCAACCTACCTTCAATGCATTGTCTCTTGTCAATAGCTCCAGTTTCTATGGTGATCTTGTTTGTTCCACACGTAAAACAATTTGTTTTTCCAGTTTCTGGTTGATAACTATTTCGTTTACATTTGGTACAATTTAAAGCCGTTTTGTTAAAATAGGAACCTGCATTACAATCTAAAGTGGAAAAGTGTTTCTTTAGACCGACTTATTTTGATGTGTTCCAAAAACGTCAACTTACTTTGAATACAATCTGATTGAAAAACACTTCCTTCCTTCTCTGTGATTGGTAGATTTATTGGACACACCTCACATGTAATCTGTCCTTTGTTCTCTTGTGTCGAGTTTCGCGGACATTTTGTACAAACCATTTCAGAAAAATTAAAATAATGACCTGGACGACATTCTAAAAACAAAATAAATTAATTATTGACGATACCAACATTAGATCCATGAAATACTGAAGATAAACATACCTTCTTTACAGTGGGATATATTGACGTGAGGATCATCTGTGTACGTAATTGTACCATGTGGACATTCGTTACATTGAATCTGTCCTTTCGTTGGTTGATATGTGTTTTTTGGACAAGGAGCACAATCTGATAGGTAGAAATTGTACATGTATCCTGGATCGCAGTCTACAAAAACACAGCAGTTTTTTAAAATTACAAGTTAGCGAGACATTATATAGTAAGTGTACATATACATATTACAGGGTGTAGTTGGTGAAACATTTAAGACCTTTAATAAAGTCAAGATGGCTGAATTCCAATTTTTTAAAGTAACTGTACCATTACGATAGGCAGTGCAACGAATTAGACCAAAATGTGGTTTAATAAAGCTAACTGGACAATGTTCACATTGGTTGGTTGAAAACAAGTAAAACGAACCAACAGAAAAAAAGATTGTAAATACATACAGCACATTAAAAAGAGATAGGACCGCATAATATTACTATACATAAATTGGAGAAGAATATATTTTTAGCAAAATTTTCAATAATAAGTGAAAGATGCAGTAGACTATTAAAGTATATTAACTACTTCTAACCGATAAAATAATTTAACATCTTCATTGTCACTCACTATTCAACCCACCTTCAATGCATTTTGCCTTATAAATAGCTCCAGTTTCCATGGTGATCTTGTTTGTTCCACACGTAAAGCATTTTGTTTTTCCAGTCTGTGGTTGATAACTATTTCTTTTACATTTGGTACAATTTAAAGTTGTTTTGTTAAAATAGGAACCTGCATTACAATCTAAAGTCGAAAAAGGTTTCATTAGACCGACTTATTTTGATTTGTTCCAATAGTGTCAACTTACTTTGAATACAATCAGATTGAAAGACTGTTCCTTCCTTCTCTGTGATTGGTAGATTTATAGGACACACGTCACATGTGATCTGTCCTTTGTTCTCTTGTGTTGAGTTTCGTGGACATTTTGTACAAACCATTTCAGACAAATTAAAGTAATATCCAGGAAGGCATACTAAATACCAAGTAAATTAATTATTGGTGATATCAACATTAGATCCATGAAGCTCTGAAGATAAATATACCTTCTTTACAGTCGTTAATATTAACGTGGCGATCATCTGTGTACGTCATTGTACCATGTGGACATTGGTTGCATCGAATCTGTCCTTTCATTGGTTGATATGTGTTTTTTGGGCAGGGAACACAATCTGATTGGTTGAAACTGTACATGTATCCTTGATTACAGTCTACAAAAACACATGAATGTTTTAAAATTTCAAATTCATGAATTATTATATTGCTGGTGTACATATACAAGGTGTAGTTGGCGAAGCATTTATGACCTTTGATACAGTCAAGATGGCTGATTGTCCCGTTTTCAACTGTAACTGTACCATTGCGACAGGCAATGCAATGTATTTGACCAAAGTTGGGTTGATAAAAATTCACAGGACAATATTCACATTGGTTGGTTTGAAACGAATAGAATGAACCAGCAGAACAATCTATAAAAGATTGTAAATACAAGCGACACATTAAAATGGGAAAGGAGCGTACATGATAATAAATATTAGATTAGAAAAGAATATACTATTAGCAAAATATTTAATAACAGATAGCAGGTGCAGAAATGAATTAAGGTATAATAACTGCTTCTCATCAATAAAATAATTTATCAACTTCATCGTCATTATTTAACCTACTTTCAATGCATTGTGTCTTGTCTATAGCGCCAGTTTCCATGGTGATCTTGTTCATTCCACACGTTAAACATTTTGTTTTTCCAGTCTGTGGTTGATAACTATTTTTTTTACATTTGGTACAATTTAAAGTCGTTTTGTTAAAATAAGAACCTGCATTACAATCTAAAATTGAAAAGAGTTTCATTAGACCGAATTATTTTGATGTGTTTCAAAAACTTCAACTTACTTTGAATACAATCAGATTGAAAAACTGTTCCTTTCTTCTCTGTGATTGGTAGATTTATTGGACACACATCACATGTGATCTGTCCTTTTTTGTTTTGTGTCCAGTTTCGTGGACATTTTTCGCAAACCATTTCAGACATATTAAAATAATGACCTGGACGACATTCTAAAAACAACGCAAATTAATTGTTGATGACATAAATAAAAGATCCACGAAATGCTGAAGAGAGACATACCTTCTTTGCAGTCGTTAATATAAACGTGGCGATCATCTGTGTACGTCATTGTACCATGTGGACATTGGTTACATTGAATCTGTCCTTTCATTGGTTGATATGTGTTTTTAGAACAAGGAACACAATCTGATTGGTTGAAATTGTACATGTATCCTGGATTGCATTCTATAAAAACACGTCAGTATTTTACAATTAAAAGTTAACAAAGCATTAAATTTCTGTGTACATATACAAGGTATTGCTGGGAAAGCAATTATGACCTTTGATACAGTCAAGATGGCTGTTTGCCCCATTTTCAACTGTAACTGTACCATTGCGACAGGCGATGCAATGAATTTGACCAAAGTTGGGTTGATAAAAATTCACTGGACAATATTCACATTGGTTGGTTTGAAACGAATAGAATGAACCAGCAAAACAATCTATAAAAGATTGTAAATACAAGCGACACATTAAAATGAGAAAGGAGATCACATGATAATAAATATTAGATTGGAAAAGAATTCACTTTTAGCAAAATATTTAATAACAAGTAACAGGTGCAGTAGTGAATTAAAGCTTAATAACTACTTCTCAATAATAAAATTACTTAGCGTCGAGTTTCGTGGACATTTTGAACAAATCATTTTAGAAAAATTAAAATAATGACCTGGACGACATTCTGAGCAAAAAAGTTGTAGATATTATAAACAATAGATCCATAAAATGCTGAAGTTAAACACACCTTCTTTACAATCTGTTATATGAGCGTGGAGATCATCTGTGTACGTTACTGTACCATGTGGACATTGGTTGCATTGTAACTGTCCTTTCATTGGTTGATACGTGTTTTTAGGACAAGGAACACAATTTGATTGGTTCAAACTATACATGTATCCTGGATTGCAGTCTACAAAAACACATCAATATTTTAAATTTACATGTTAACGAGTAATTTCTATCGTGCCAGAGTGTAGCGTGAAATGAGTGTAAGAAATACGGGATTTTACAACATAACATAAGACATATCAGTGCATTATCAAATCTAGCCGTACGAACAAGGTATTTATAACTTTTCACGTAGGAGATTATTCCTTTCAATAGAAAAACTAAGGAATAGCTAAAATATATTTTTTACATTTATGTGTATTTATAATGTATTGATTTTTCAGAAATAAAATGTCAATAATTTCCTTTTATACAACGACTTTGATTTGTGTATGGTTGCAGTGGCGGATCTAGGGTATGTCAAATCAGTCACGCGACATATGTTTATAATTAAAACTTATTCATCAAATATAATGATCACAATTTTTTTTTATCAATAAATTTTCGTTCTGTAATCGTTTGCATTTCATCGTCAAAATTGTGTTTTATGTATGAAAAATTTTATAAATACTACCTTAGTAAACAGATCAGTAGATAAAAACATATCTAGAATTATATTAACTGGCTGACTGATAGGCGGAATGGCTCGACTGGTTCGACCGATAAGTTGAATTTTAATTGGCCTGGAATAACCGAATGATAAGCGGGGGGGGCTTGACTGGTTCCACTGATAAAGGAGTCTATGAACGCAAAAAACGCTTATTTGATTGGTCAATACCCAGATCAATGGACGATCTAGAATAATCTCGACTGATAAGCGGGGTGGCCGGACCTATAAGGGAGTCCACTTGCTATCGTGTAACTGGTTCGTTTAAATATTTGTCTTACTGTGATTGATTTGACCGATTTCGACTGATAGCCAACTGAACTAGTATAGTCAAGCTCACTGTCTGAATTGAATGTTTGATCGTTTCATAGTAATTTTCTAAAGCATGATAGAAACTAAACTACTATCAGATGGAATTTATGGAAATCTTTCACAAACTCATATATTGACATGAATGCTGCTGTCCAAACTGTGAATTTTTTGAAGAGGGTAAAAATTTATGATGAATTGTAAATGCTTGGAAAAGACGATCTTGCGAGCGACATTTGAGTCCGCGAGCGACATTGATGTTCAAAAGCAAGCCAATTTTGTTTTGAGTTTTCTCAGCAGAAATTTACATCCAAAATCGTAAGTAAAGGACAATTGAAGTGTATGCATGAATGTAAAATATCAAAGTCAATTTATGCTAGTATGTGGTGCGACTTATGTCAATATGGCGTATGGTAAGCCGATTGATGCTTCTAAAATTGTTGTTGCCGAAGGACTTCTAGTTTTGATTTCTTTAGTGCTTGGGGAATCTTGGCCTTTATATGGCAGCGAAATCCTAAATCCAAAATCCAAAATCGTAAGTAAAGGACAACTGAAGTGTATGCATGAATAAAAAATATCAAAGTCAATTTATGAGTCAAGACTTGAATCTGAAGATGACTAACGCTAAGGTTGTCGAAATGTCAGTCAACAACAACAAACACAGTCCTTCTCAGGACTATACCAACCTGGATGATCTACATTTACAAACATATAAAACAACAAAAGTGACCAAGAAAAACACTTCATACTATTACAAAACAAATACTTACCATAAGCATTGCTAGGAATGGCCATCTTTGGTATTGTGTCACAGCTTCCTGGAGCAAAAGCAAGATTATCAAGAGCTGTAACACTTTTTTCATCTGTCACGCTTTCAATGATCAACTATTAAATAAAAATAAGTAAATTTGGCATCACAAGTTTGACAAAGTTTAACTATTAGTTTTATCAATAAGTCTAATTTACCAACCCGAGATAGACCCATGGTAAAATCAACTGTGACTTGTCCTTTTTTCCATTTCCTTCCTTTATCACTACTTATTAATGACCACAGTAAAAGATTATATCCATTATAAAAATGGTCTTGATAGATATTCAATGTCGCAGAAGTAACAATTTGTGAAAACCGATGCATGAAATACGAGAATGAAAAGCACATAAGAGAGTCGTTACGATAATTTCCCAGCAACCACGCTTTACGTGATAAAGAGTCATAATATATAGAATAAAGATATTGTCCTACAAAACATGAGAAAATGTAAAATATATGTAGTAATGTAGACTATATAGATAAAGAATAAAGATATCGTTCTACAACACATGGGGAATTGTAAGATATATGTAGATTATATACATAAAGATTAAAGTTATCGTCCTGCAAACACATAAAGAAATGTAAGATATATGTAGACTATATATATAAAGAATAGAGATATTGTCCTACAACACATAAAGAAATGTAAGATACATGTAGACTATATATATAAAAAATAAAGATATCGTCCTACAACACATGAAGAAATGAAAGATATATGTAGACGGTATATAGAGATATCGTCCTACAACACATAAAGAAATGTAAGATACATGTAGACTATATATATAAAAAATAAAGATATCGTCCTACAACACATGAAGAAACGAAAGATGTATGTAGACGGTATATATAAAGAATGAAGATATCGTCCTACAACACATAAAGAAATGTAAGATATATGTAGACTATATGTATAAAGAATAAAAATATTGTCCTACAACACATGAAGAAATGTAAGATATATGTAGACTATATATATAAAGAATAAAAGTATCGTCCTACAACACATGAGGAAATGTAAGAAATATGTGGACTGTATACATAAAGAATAAAGATATCGTCCTACAACACATGAAGAAATGTAAGATATATATAGACTATATATATAAAGAATAAAGATATCGTCCTGCAACACATAAAGAAATGTAAGATATATGTGGACTATATATATAAAGAATAAAGATATCGTCCTACAACACATAAAGAAATGTAAGATATATGTGGACTATATATATAAAGAATAAAGATATCGTCCTGCAACACATAAAGAAATGTAAGATATATGTGGACTATATATATAAAGAATAAAGATATTGTCCTACAACACATGAGGAAATGTAAGAAATATGTGGACTGTATATATAAAGAATAAAGATATCGTCCTACAACACATGAAGAAATGTAAGATATATGTAGACTATATATATAAGGAATAAAATATCGTCCTACAACACATAAAGAAATGTAAGATATATGTAGACTATATATATTTAAAGAACAAAGATATCATCCTACAACACATGAAGAAATGAAAGATATATTTAGATGGTATATATAAAGAATAAAAATATCATCCTACAACACATGAAGAAATGAAAGATATATTTAGATGGTATATATAAAGAATAAAGATATCATCCTACAACACATAAAGAAATGTAAGATATATGTAGACTATATATACAAAGAATAAAGATATTGTCCTACAACACAAAAAGAAATGTAAGATATATATAGACTATATATGTAAAGAATAAAGATATCGTCCTGCAACACATAAAGAAATGTAAGATATATGTGGACTATATATATAAAGAATAAAGATATCGTCCTACAACACATGAGGAAATGTAAGAAATATGTGGACTGTATATATAAAGAATAAAGATATCGTCCTACAACACATGAAGAAATGTAAGATATATGTAGACTATACATATAAAGAAAAATATTTTGTCCTACAACAAATAAGGAAATGTAAGATATATGTAGACTATATATATAAAGAGTAAATATACCGCCCTACAACACATAAAAAATGTAAGATATATGTAGACTATATATATAAAGAAAAAAATATTGTCCTACAACACATGAGGAAATGTAAGATATATGTAGACTATATATATAAAGAATAAATATACCGCCCTACAACACATAAAAAATGTAAGATATATGTAGACTATATATATGAAGAAAAAATATTGTCCTACAACACATAAAGAAATGTAAGATATATTTAGACTATATATAAAGAATAAAAATACCGTCCTACAACACATGGAGAAGTGTAAGATATATGTAGACTATATATATAAAGAATAAATATACCGCCCTACAACACATAAAAAATGTAAGATATATGTAGACTATATGTAAAGAATAAAGATATTGTCCTACAACACATAATGCAATGTAAGATATATGTAGACTATATATATAAAGAATAAATATACCGCCATAAAACACATAAAGAAATGTAAATTATATGTAGACGGGATATATAAAGAAAAAAATATTGTCCTACAACACATGAAGAAATGAAAGATATATGTAGACGGTATATATAAAGAATAAAGATATCGTCCTACAACACATGTTAAGTTTAAGTTTTTGTTTATCTTTGTTGTTTGATGAATTTCTCTACCCCACCAAATTTGTTATCTTTGAAGACAAAATCTTACTAAATTTTCTCCATCATTTTGCCTGTTATTATTTAAGCCTTGATTCAAGAAGTTTCAGATTCAATTTAAAACATTGCCATCTTACCAACACCGGAACGTGTGGTATCGTAGCGTGGTACCAAAATACATCTGATTTCAATTTTAATAAAGTATCTAGTTTAGACGCAGCAAAATATTTATGACGTTAGATTTCATTAAAAAGTAAATCTGAATTTTCATTTGTAGAAAAAATCAAAAATGTTCTTCATCATTTTACTTTTTGCACTTTAAGCAGTTATACATGCAACACTTATTCACTATAAACACTGCCATCTTACCAATACTCAACCCTAGAGCATCATAACGTGGTGGTTGCCAATAATATAAGTTTGATGTACTTAATTTCCAGTCAAAGTGATCATCAACTCTCTCGTTGCGCCATGGACAATCAGTCGTTTCCAATCCCTTTTGAAAATCACAGCTTTCGACTGAATAAAAAGAAATCGAAATTTGAACAGCCTTATTATAGTTATAATATAAAGACAAAGTCTGAAATGCATTTGTATAAAAGAAAAATACACAACACAAGACAACGGGGTTTTAACGAATGCTATGTTCCACAGCAGATGGAACATAGCTGTGGAGCATTGAACGATTTTAATTTTTAAAATAAATGAATTCGGCAGAAAACTTCGAAATTGTGCTGAAGGATTTCTAGTTCTCGAAGTCGAGGACAGGGCCGGAACTAGAGCGCTAATTGGGGGGGGGGGTCAATAATCATACATTTAGCTCTGCCCGACGATTTCTTTTAAAAATAAAATCGTTAACAAAAAAAATTAGTCGGGCAAAGCTGAATATATAAATACTCACATCCCCCCCAATGACGTTCTAGTTATGGTCATGGTTGTGGACACACAGATATCTTTAATAAATGTCCGCTAAATTAATCAAGAATCTCTTCCAACAAGACACTGGCTAAGCGTTTACTCGAGCTAAAGAGTGCTCTTACTAGTGCTTTAAGGAGACGAGGTTCTATGTAAAAGCTAAGGATATATTTTTTCAGCAATAAAAAAGCTATAAAGGCTGCAAAAATAGCACACAAGTTCATTGCTACTCTGGCTGATTACTTTTAACTTGCATGTAAACCAGACACATCTACATGACCGTTACACAAGGGGCATGTTTTGCCTTGATTGCACTATATATAAGTAGGTAATGCTAGCTGGTTGTGTGTTTAAGTCAACATACAATAGCGGATCCAGTGAACCTCGAAATAAATTATAGCTCCTCAATTTTAAATTCAAATTACATTGAGGAAAAAACTATTAATTTTTAATTTCTAAAGAAAAAAGTTTAGCCAATAAATTGTCGTCTAAGGTGTTTAGAAAAGTAAATATACGCCAAAATGTGCGGCAGTAATCTTTTTTGAGGTACTCTAAATCCGCCACTGTGGCAACATATACATAACTGGTACATCTGTTGACTATTTCACCTTTTCTGCGTATATTGTGAACATCACTTCATTAATTAAGTCTGTAAATTTCCTTTTAATTTGCTTACAAACCCATTTCCGAACTTTTCTTAAACGCCAATAAGATGATGCAGCCACAATTTCTTTTGATTAGCAAATAATAGAAAGTGCCCGCGTCGGAGACTAAGAATCGCGCGCGAGAAAGAATTAATAAACTGAATTGAAGACTCTCGCTTCAGCTCGAGTAGCTAATACCATCGAGCTTTTTCAGCAAGAGTTGGGAAACTTCTACTTAAAATAAATATAGAGCCTTTAAAATCTACCAAGTTCTTAACTTAAATAAGCAATAATGATGATAATTTTACAATAAACAATATGTCAAAATGTTGATTATGAATGTTAAAAATGCTTTTTATGGAATCTAAGTAGACTCGCTTTGTAACTTTTACGAGTATGATGATTATATAAGTTTACTTTATCAACTGTTTTAACATTTATACAAATTTTACAATGCAATTTAATTGCGATATATTTGAAATTATACTACATTTGGTCTTGGTTTCAGTTTATTATTGCTGTTTCAGAAATTTGTCGAAAGTTTTTCCTGGACGTGTTATGTATAGATAAGCATGGTTGAAATCAACGCGAATATTTTTGATATTTAATAATTGTTAAAGAAAATCAACAACATATAGTGTCTTCATTTTTATCGTACCAGAATGGAGCGTGGAAAGACGAGAAAGAAATACGGATTTTTACAATATAGGCATATAACATATCAGTATATTATCAATTCTAGTCATACAAACAAGGTATTTACAACTTTTTACGTTGGCGATATGGAAATAACTTTCTATATCTATATGTAAAGCTCACCGTTAAAGGATTGAGCACTCTAGTTGACTCTATATAGAAATCATTTCAAACAATGTGTAACCGTACAACCTGTGTCCCAAGTACAAGAGTCACCATTGCATTACGGTGGCAATAACGAGACAAAAATAGATAGAATTGGGTACATGTATCTGCGCTCCTTTATGTGTTGATGTTCCGTTGTCCCGTTGATGCACAAGTAAAGTAACTAAACTATATATTCTATAGCAAATGAGAAATTCGTTTAGTCCCAACTTTCCTCGGTAAACCTATTTGAATCGTACTTTGTTTTAACTGCATTGTCCTATGTTTATTAAGTTTGACTCAAACAGCAACACGTTTCATTTTAAAGACTAACTATGTGTCTTTCTACAAATATGATTTGTCATATCAGAATAAGCTGATATATTTGATTGTGATTATTTCTGTTAAAAGCTGTTTCACAATTTTCCCATGGAACCATTTCCTCTTACTCTCATTAAATTGAATAATAACTATTAATTTTAAAAAGTTAAATGAATATTTGCATAAATGCTACTGTACTTAGTTGTTCAGTAGTACGATAAAATACTTTAGATATTGCTTTCTCTACAGCATTTGGCAGCAAATAACAACAATGTAACGACTACATACAAATATTGAAGTTCGTCTTGTGTATTTTTAAAATTTTGCTAGAATTTTGAGTAAGTTTCGTAACAGCGTTGCCAGCCCTGGGGTTTTTTTCGCTAGATCTGGTTTTTCGGAAAATTTCTGGGGTTCTGGGGTAATTTCCCCTAAAACGCAAATACAGTTTGAAAATGTGCGCAATATTAGATAAAACAACTCTGAACATGGATGTCCATGCCAAAGAAAGTCCAAACTATTTATTTATAGCTTATAAAGAGTATAATTGTAGCACATAGATTTAAGGTCTACCTTACATTGTATAAATCTAAGTTAAAGACTAAATTGCAGCGTGTATTTCCAATGCACACAATGCCAGACAGACACTTCAACATTTTTTGTACAAGTACTAAATGTACTCACAGTGCTGTAAAATGTTTGCTTCGACATTCTTGCAATCCACGACTTACCATGACAATTAGACTTTTATTATTACCATTTTCTACATGTATATTTTACGGATTTCAGCAATCGTTCATTTTTATTCATTTTACAATATTTTATATCACAAGATGAGATGAAAATTCGTTATTCATAGTGTCATTTACACATTTTTACTCAGAATTTGTCATCACGACGTAATGGTAACTCAATATAAATATTTAAGGATTGAGTGAGGGTTTAACATAGATACTTTTTGTTGATCATAGTTGGCACAAACACATCAAAAAAAATCCTATCAACCTCCCGCTGTTTGGGGGTGTTAGCCTGCAGTTGCAGGCGTTTTCATATTCTTGGTCGAATCTGTGGTTTTGCAAAATAGTCGAAAGATCAAACTGTTTTGTAATGTTTTAAGCTATTGAAACATATGTCTGACAAATGATCTAAGTATAAAATTACGCATTTGAGAAGTATGTCTTCCGAAAAACACAAACAACATATTGGAATAAAGAAAACTGTAAACGTCGGTTAAGCCATTTGAACGTGGATTTATATTTTGGATTGATCAAAAATCAAAAGAACTCTCACGTTTGCAAGTAATTTGTTTCTACAATGTGATTTCCCAAATATTTCTGTCAAAGAAGAAACCATCTTGTTTTGGAAATAATAACTAAAGCCTACGATAAGACGGAAAAAAATCTTAATATGACGCTCGTCACGCGTGGAGAAATTTATCAAACCAAACTTCACTGACGTGATAGCAATAAATATACACTTCATAACCCAATGTAAATACATTGAACATTAAATGATCTGTCAATTGCCTGAAGATCGCCCTATTGCGCGAAACTCCGAGTAGCAACAGCAGAAACCTAGTCTATTTTATTTTATACATATATATTTATAACATTTTGATTTTTCAGCACTGAAATGTAACTCATAATGTTAAAATTTACCTTTTATACATTCTCGTTCACTAATTGCACCAACATTGATGGTACCTTTACCATCATTACAGGCAAGACAACGAGTTTGATTTGTGTATGGTTGATATGTATATATGGGACATTTTTCACACTTCATACTTTCAAACGAAAAGAATGAACCAACGGAACAATCTATGAAAACGATAATTGAAAATAACACAATGGTTGACAATTTCTTCACAAATGCATGTTTTCCAAATTGAACAAGAAACTATGTTACTACTTGTTGATAATATACATAATAAAATTGTCTTATCTGATTATTTTTAATCACTCCGGCGTACGAACTATTCAAACGGCACGTTATTTAATCAACCCGCTCGTGTTTTTCCATTTCGTCAGAAATTTTTATCACAGCATCACAAATCTTTGGCACGTAGATTAAAGAAGGTGCTTTGGGCACTGCTTGTATTTTTTGAAGTGTTTCGCAATTGCAAAACTGTTCACCCGGTTACCAATGAAAATCCACTTTACACTTACGCCAGCCATTGTTATTGCTTTTCGTTACAATCGTCTAACTTTCCCGCCTTAGAAACATTTTATTTTCATTGGCTGTCATAATTGCTTCTTTGTTTGACTAACCAATCACAGGAGGACCCTCATCATACGGAAATTTGCGCTGTATTCTTTTTTGGCACTGTTCTTACAAAAAATTACACTACTCTCGACCAATCAGAATTTAGAATTTTTTATGAATGTTGTTAACAGTTTATTCACTTATTGTATTCAATGTTTCTTATCTCATATTATGCAAGTTAACTATGACACAAATGAAAATACGAAAATTTCCAAGAACATAGAACCAACAAGAGGGCGAATCAAAACACTTCACATTCCAAGAAAATAAATTTACTTACCAAAAGCAATAGGACGAAACGCCACCTCAGGTATTTTTTCACAGCTTCCAGGAGTAAAAGCAAGATTGTCAAGAGCCTTGACCCTAAAATATGATGATTCTAGAACATCTTCAATGACCAACTATAAATAAAAAGTAAGTTACTCGTCACAAATCTTCACAAAGTCGTATAAATGTGTCTAATTTACGTACCCTAGATAGACCCATGGTAAAATTAACTGTGACTTGGCCTTTATTCCACTTGTTTCCTTGATCACCACTTAATGACCACAGTAAAGGACTGTATCCATTGTGAAAATATTCTTGGTAGATATTTAATATCCCAGAATAAGTGCGATACATGTAATACGAAAATGAAAAACAAACGAGAGAGTCCCTGCGATAATTTCCCACCAACCAAGTTTTGCCGGGTGAAATGTATCTTATATCAGCAGAAACATATCGTCCTACAACACATGAAGAAATGTAAGATATATGTGTACTATATACATGAAGAATAAAGATATCGTCCTACAACACATGAAGAAATGTAAAATTATGTAGACACTTATACATGACATTGCTCGATCAACCATAACAATAACTCTCGTAAAGAGATTTATACTGTTTAGTTTAGGTTTTACTGACTTTATGTTCGTTATTTCAGCAATTCAGCCATACAGTATTTCCCGGGAAAATTTATCGTGGTTTGATAAACATAATCAACGAAAATACGAAAAAGACCGTAATGTAAAACCCCCACCTTACTTTGTCTTTTATACAGCTGAAAATAAATTTATCTAGTTTTTTGATATGACTGATTTATATTTAATATGGATTTAAAATGACTGAGATGAAAATATTCATGTCATTAGACTTGATAAACAAGAAAATTTATTTGTTGATGACAAGCCTTTAAAACCCAATTTGCAATTTATTTTGAAGTCAAAACTTTACTAAATATTCTCCATCATTTTGTCCGTTACAATTTATGTACTTCTACATTTAACACTTCTTTACTATAAATCACAGCCAACTCACCAATACTGGAGCCTGTAGCATCATAACCCAAAAAGTCTAAGTATGGTGGGGTAAGTTTCCAGTTAATGACATCATCCCAGTAGACGTTGTGCCATGGGCATACATTCGTTCCCATTCCCTTTTGAAAATCGCAGCTTTCTACTGAAATGAGTCAAAAGAATCGATATTTGAACAAGCATAACAATTGTTGAAAGAGCAGAAAAGTAGGTTCGCATTACGCACGTGTGGTTAGCCTGTCAATCAAATGGCCACAAACAAAGTAGATTAATGAACATAGTTCAAATAAAATTATACATTTGATATTTCCTACATCAAACATATAGGAGATTTAAAATTGTGCTCAGTGCTCACTGTTCTGTCAAATCACACAATAACTGTCAGACCATTTCTCCATTTGTCGAGCAGCAGCGCAGATGTCAGAGCTAAATATGCAAAACGCATATTTGCATATATTAAGTCCATTAAAACTTTTCCAATTCAACGTAGCATTGAACAACTCTTCCGAATTAAGAATTGTTATTTCAAAATGAAATATAGCTCGTGAGGCCAAAAATATATTTAAGTCCTTTTTGAATGGAAGCCAAACATATGTCCGGCTTGGGTAGCAACATCATGTCATCAACAACGACACAGTTTCTTTCTTTTCTTTTTACTTTTTACAGCGTTAGCTGTGTATCTTGGGACTCTTTGCCACTTAGTAATTTTTGTTTTTTTCCTTTTTTTTGTTGTTGGGAAGGCATCGCTCAAAGAACTTGCCAACACATGTTGTAATAGAGGCAAAAAAACATGTTTGGTGTCATGTGCACGAGACATACCGCCTCTATTTCGTTAAAGCAGACTCTATTCAAAATTTACCTTTAATACATTCTTGTTCACTTACTGCACCAACATTGATGGTACCTTTTCCATCATTACAGGTAAGACAACGAGTTTGATTTGCGTATGGTTGATATGTAGAGGTGGGACATTTTTCGCATTTATTAAGTTGAAGCGAAAAAAATGAGCCAATGGAGCAATCTGTAAAAAATTATTGAAGATAAACGTTGATTGAACATTGATTGACAATTGACAGCGGACAGTTGAATAATTTAGTATTCTTTCCGTTAATTTATGTAATATAAACAGATAAAAGTAATGATGGGTTATAAATTTTCCAGAGACAAAAAATAAAACACTAGAAAACAATTCTTGATCCCAGAAGTAGAAACAAGTATTTACCTAAAGCACTACTAGGAGTGGCGACCTTTGGTATGGTGTCACAGCGTTTGGAATAAAAAGTAAGGTTGGCAAGAGTAGCACCTCTTCTATGATCGCTTTCAATGATCAACTGTTAAAGTAAAAATAAATGAACTATGTATCCCAAGTTGACAAAGTTTAATTTAGTTGCGTATAATATGTCTAATTTACCAACCCTAGATAGACCCATGGTAAAATCAACTGTGACTTGGCCTTTTTTCCACTTGTACGACTCGCTTTCTTTATCATCATTTAATGACCACAGTAACAGCATATATCGATTATAAAAATATTCTTGATAGATATTCAATGTCCAATACACTGATAATTTATATTGCAGGTAATACGAAAATGAAAAGCACGTAACAGAGTTGTTGCGATAATTTCCCACCAACCAAGCCTTTCCTTGCGAATAGTATTGTCCTCTAGAATAAAGGTTTCGTCCTATAATATATTAGAAATGTATGATGTATGTAAGCTGTACAAGTAATATTAACAGTAATATTAACATTTGTTGCTAAATCATTGTTTTAAATATAACACAAAAAGAAATCTGTATGTGTAGACCATGTGTAGGTAGGCATGTGAGAAGTACAGAATAATTAATTTTTGATAAATAATTTATGCAGACTTGGCTGATCAATCATTTCAAATCTGCCTTTTTACACTTTTGAAAGCCTTTGGGCAATGAACGCATCACACCAAATTTTCTGTTATTGATTAAGGAATTTAAATAAATAGTGGCTTACTAAGTTTAATGTACATATTTCAAAAAACAACTTGTTTTTAAAGTTCTTAATATGTTTAAAATAAATTTTTAACAGATTTTAGGCGGTGGAAATTATTCATAACATCAAATTTTAGAAAGCAAAGAAATTATTGCCAGATGGAAAGGTTTTAAAAATCCGATTCGTCAACTTTCAAGACTAAATAGTAAAGTAAGATGATATAGGCGAACAAAATATAGATGACAACACACGAACGAGTAAAGTAGATGTTTTGGGATACTCGAGAGCAGTGTTTGAATTTGCGCATTACAATAGTTGGGACAACAATATATTTGACTATAAAATATTGATGCAACATCGATTGTGATTGGCAAAGAGCCTACATATATATAATTCTCAAGATTTGCCACAAAATGTTAAAATTAAATTATCTATAGGTGACGTAATTGCTTATGTGAAAATTGTAAATAAAAAAGTATAATGGCGGAATCTTCCTCAATATTTGCAAGCGTTTCAATTTTTTCGCACCAATTATTGAGAACAAAGACATAAAAAAACACTATAAGGTTTGTCAGTTAGGAAATTTTTTATCGAATGTTTACGGGAAAAAGCCGAAAGCAAACTGCAAAAATTCTTAAAAGTCGAAGCACGGAAAACTTTGCGGCTTCCGTAAAAAATAGTTTGAAAGCTTTTGTATTTATAATTGTATGATAAAACAATTTATTGTATTTGGCTTTCGATTGATATCTAGAATTATTCGGACCTCAGTCAATATTATCCGCCTTAGCTTCGCTTCAGAGATAACATTGAGACCTCCGTCTGATTGTTTAATATCAATCACGTGTCATTTTACTTTTCATTAGTGGAACTCGCGCGTGAAACAATCCAAGATGGATTTTGATTGGTTCAAGGACTTTGTGTCAGTCACGCAAGATTTGTGCAATCTCGCAACATGACACGAAAAACACTTTTTTAGACAAACGATAATTATGATACGTCTATGCAAAATCATTCGTTCTATTTGATTGATGGTGTATTATCAGGTGTTTAACATGAAACGCAAAACAAATTGGCATTCCAATGATTGTCATCGCTTCACGAGCTTAAACTCCATGGGCCGGTTGCACGATAGCCGAATAGCGCTATTCTCTGGATAGCAAAATTTTCTGAACGTTCTAAAAAATCTCTTTTAAGAAAAAAATATACGATTTGAGCTGTGCAATCACTGAAACAAAATATTGTTTCGAGGATTACAAATTTTCTTTGTTGTAAAAAATATAAACATCTTTTACAAGTTTGAAAATTTTTACTATCAATGTCATTAAATATGAATGGCCTCATGTTTATAAATACCGGCCTCATGTCATTAAATATGAATTGCGGGCTCAACCCTGTCTGCATCTCACAATCCACAAGTGAATGAGTACAGTGGGTGATGACCAATTCATTTTATATTTAAGAAATTCCTGCCTTACTGAGCTATCTTGGTTTCCATGCACAAAACGTAAATATTACATTAAATTTTATTGCAATGTGACATTCTCATACACCACAGTATCAAACTTTGTGTAAACATTGACACAGAACACAACAAAGCGATAATTCGTTCAGTAAACCAGTTTGATATCTTGAACCTCGATATTTTGTCACCTTGCACACAATCCAAAAATGTTTTACAACTTACCAAACGTTGACCGTTTGAAATGATATGGGTAATCTGAGAGAGTCCAGTCGTCATCATCAACTCCCTCAACATTGTGCCATGGACATAATGTCGTACCAAGGCCATGTTCAAAGTTACAGATTTCAGAGTCAGCACTCGCTGTAGAGCAAGCAAAGACAAATCAAGCAAGTTATTTGTTGATTCAATAAAAAAGGGTTTTCGTTAAAACTGGTTTTCTTTGTCTACGTAAGCGCAAATGTACAGTCGTGTAAACTTTAACAATAACTTCTGTTTTCACTGGCAAAAACACATACGATAAACGCAAACGATCAAAATCCTATGTTCTCATATATACGTTGCTTCGTAAGCAAATTAATTGCATTATTTAAGGAAACTTTTTTATCTTTTCTAACACAAAGATGTCGTACAAAATTTATTTGTCAGAGAAGCTGGTTTATAGTAACAGAATAAAAAGAACTTTATTTAAGGAGTGCAAAAACAAAAGCTTACATGGTTTGAAAAAGTTAATCTTACCTTTCATCAAATAAATACATCTACTTTTTAAAAATATTATTAGTGTAAAATATAAAGCTACTATTCTTTGTTTGTATCATCAAAAACAAGCTTTCTATGTGAGAAGGTAGAGATTTATTAAAAGTTTCATACCTTGTGACAACATAGTACTGACTAACAGGAAAATTATCAAATTTATCATTGAAAGTGAATTGCTGAAATGGAAAACGAAAATGTACGTTGTATTGTTAAGAATTTCGTCATCATTTTTAACAATTTCAACACTTTATAGTCAAGGTTTCAATTGCTCTATGCATGCAATGTAGAGTCTGGTTAAAACATTTAACTTTTCTTGCAAAAGCCACAACAACTGCTTCAAAATATCCGCTCGTTACCAAACTTGCGCCAAAACGTTGTATATTAACATCATTTAAGAAATAAAAGATGTTTACTGGGTTTGCACAGGCTTATGCAAACTGAGAAGACCTTTGGGAGAACTCAAGAGCAGATCAGTGCAAACCCGAGACCGAAGGTCGAGGGTTTGAAAAACAAGAAAAACATTTTTTATTTCTTTTATAAAATAACAATAATGCGAAAAAAGACAAACATTTTAATTTTTCGTCTAAAATGTATTCATGATCGATTTGCAAAATCTCTTTGACTGATTCGTTGTTTAGATTGATTTGATTGGTTGAGCTCAGATGTGCTTTGCACAGGCTAATCCGAACACAGCTCTAGACCAATCAGCGTACACGTTTCATTGTGTTTGATTTATAATTTAATCCCAAAACTTTCATAATTTTATTAAATTTGAAAAATGAAAGAACAAGAAAACTTAATAAAATAGCTCAACTATCTATTACTTTAAGGTTTCTGATGACGACAATATCAACATGGCCACAAGATGCCTTGATAAAAGTCAGTCACACTTTCAGCAGAAAACATTCTAAGACAGCTTTGATAATATATCACTAACGTTCAAAGTAGAAAATGTTACTTTGCCAAGCATAAAACAATATTCCAACCTCTCAATTGTTTAGGAAAACTCTTTAAGTTGACGCTTTTTAAAAGATTTCCTCTTCAATTTTCAGAACATAAGTTAATATCTGCTTAAAAGATTTTTTACGTAGGAGGTTCGCTTTAAGTGACTACATAAAGTGCAGAGGTTACACTATTTAAATTTTATACAACCATATCTGACGTGTAACCTGGCTACGATTTGAGACAATTTCTATAAAATAGCTGATAAAACATAGTATAGTACCAAAACCAATGTATTATAGAAAATGTACTTTCGAATTAAAATACTTAAAACACTAGCAGATTTGATTGAAATCAAATAAACAATAATAACACGAAAAATTTTACCAGAAAATTGAAGTTGACATGTGTCATTGCTGCAATTTGAGTATAATTTCATATAGCTGCTATTTTAAAAGGAATTCATTTCGGCTTTCAACATCAACTTACTCAGACGGTGTTTCAGGGCATCAATATAACGCATGTGGTTTTAATCAAAGTAATATTAATTTACTTATATGCATGCACAATATTTATAAATTATATTGTTATCAGTAAACTAGAATAATGAAAATATGAGGAACTAAAATAATGAAACTTGCAAAATATTCGCAAACTTATTGTACAATTACGGATTAGATTTCAAACATGAGGATAACTTTCTTAATCCAAAAGGACCAAATTCAAACTGTCAGTAATATTGCAAACTCATGCAAAGTGTGGTGTAAAATTTGACGTTATGTTATGTAAACCACCTAAAGTCTTCAAAACATCGCCGAATTACAGCAAACACACAGGCACAATAATCGGATTTCATAAGTATTGAATAATCATGAGATTGAGTAACAAAAACATAAATTCTAAGATAAAGTGTTCTTTTCCATGAAGCTAACTTTAAATACATTCAAACCTGGTGCTTGCATCTTTCAATATATAGTTCATCATCATCATCATCAAGGCTCCTATATTTTTTCTCACTTCTTTCTATCAATAACTTTATTAAATATTCAATACAGGCTCAAAATTCTCCAGTGAACTCTTTTTATTGCTGGACAGCGATAACCTCCAGCTGTTTGCAAAAATAGTTCCGCAACTGTGCTGTAATCTGTTAACAATGATGAAATAATTTATGTCAACTAGAATAAGTACGCCCATGCACTATCGTAACAGTCATGTGACTTTATGTAGCACTTATATTTGCATTTAATTATCTTATCTTTCTATTTCTCTTGCGCTTGCGAACGCATGGTTTTGAAAAATGCTTATTGCGTCGTTTTTGCAATTAGTTAATACATCTTTTCAATGGATCCAGTTGAGTAAAAAGTTAACATATTATAGGCCTAGGATGTGAAAATAAATAAGTAAATTGAGTGTTTTTCACAAAAGATGATTCAACAAGAATGGCGCTAGCTTCACCAAATGCTTTGAGTTTGAGTATAAGCGGCCCAAAAATCACTTAAACAGTATAATTATATACAATAAATTAATGCAAAGTTTGCGGCGTACGGTCTGTTACGATGTAATGGGAAAGACATTGTTTGTTTATACCATTAAAGAGATTTTTTGGGCCGCTAATGGCTTGAGCGCGGAAAAGTATAGATTACGGGAGCTCAATATCAAGCTGTATTTGGAGAGCATATGAAACTATTTAGATTCGTTCATGGTATCTAATCAAAGTCTCAGACAGAGGCCTGACCACCCGTCTTTTGAACCGGCATTTATGAAAGATGACTGGCAAAAATAAAACAAGTTAAAATAAACCTAAATTATTTACCTCTGTAATGCCAAAACCAAAAATGTGGTTTCATTTTTTTTCAAAATATTTCGCATTATTTTTTGCGATATATTATTACAGCGGCACATACAAGCAAAAGGAAAGCGCGTCAGCAAAACAAGGAAGTAAAATCAAAATGACTTTATTATGAGGTGTTTTTAAGGCAAAATGCTCCACAAAAAGCGCTTGAAAAACAAACTGTCGATAGACTCCTTATTTAAAAGAATGAACAGTGACAGCAAATCACAGTCAATATAAACATTTGGAGAGCCAGCTGAAGAAACCAGCTTTTCAATCTCAATAATGAAAGTGAATAAAACGGCGAAAGGATAAACTTGTAAATATTTTTCTTAATCATGGAACAACACAAAATCTCTGACCAGAAAATTGTTGGGGTTCAGGTCAGACGGGGCATCCGTTTTAGCAGGAGAAGAGGGAAAAGTTAATGCTCTATTGAAGAATAACAATCCTTTCTGCATTTTTGTCCACCGCATTTGTACCGTTTTCACTTGGACATATCGCAAGCATGCAAGATCAATCAGGATATGGCAACGCATACAAGAAATTCCAAGTGAAATATACAACTACGTCTAAAGTTCCGCATGTTGTCTATGGAAAAGTGTGTTTCGCTTTATTATTCATTTTTTGCAGTCTCTATGACATTTAAGGTTGTACTAAAACTTATAAATTTTATAAACAACTTACTTACTTTAACATTATTTTGAAATATTCCTCATCGTGACGTTCATAAGATATCATCTTCATTTTAAGTACACGATATTCATCTATTCCAATTGTTACTTCTGCAATAGTCCGAAAGAAGTGATTTCCGTAAGCAGCAACACTTCCTGGTTCTCAACCATCTTTTAGTACTTTTTTCAGAACAAGGTCAGTAGCAAATGCTAGCAAGTATAAAAAAGCGCATTTTGATTGCTAAAAGTACAAGATGTTCAGAAATTTTGAATCACATCGTGAGTCACATCGTGAATGTCGTTCGACGTCATTTTGTAGCATATTGATCATGGGAGATTTGTGTTCTACAATCAGCATTTTAAAACATGTGAAAGTCCCCGTAAATTTGGTCTAACACTTTATCGCTTTTTTTTTCAATAAATTCTATTTTTTTTCAATATTCAATCAAACCAGAAAATTCCCCAGTAAACTCTAGAAGGAAATGAACAAAATAAAGCATTTCATTGATGGACAGTGATAACCTCCATGCAAGTGTTTTCAAAAATTCTGTCAAACTGTGATCATATGCCATCAGGATCATGAAACCAAAAACGCTATTTCTAAAATGTGGAATATCCGTAAACAGATGGGGTTAGCCGATTAGTGAAGTTAAAACGTGGAAAATGAAATGATCCTGACGGAGTAAACGTAGAATCTGTAAAACAGGGATGTCAAAATAATGAACAAATAAAACGTATCTTTGGCAAGTCGATTGAAACCACACTATACTTCAAGGGCAAATTTACCAACTCAAAAATCCTCTTGTTCTAGTGTTAGATCGACAATAATTGAGGCACAAATAAATCTTTCGCCCTTAGCTCATTTTGCTTCACAATTTATGTCGTTGAGTGGTAACAGAAATCGTCTTTCCCTTGCGTCGGCAACTTTCTCTCACTAACTTATTAAAACCGGTGATCAACCATCAGCAACGTCAACAATAATTGAACAACAATTTGTATTTGCAAAGCAAAATCATACACATGCTCACACCAACCATTAAATAACAGAACTCCTAATTAAATAACTTAATAAATTTCTTTATTCCCTTGCAGACAATAAACAACATACGCTTTGAACACCATCAATAGTTGAAAATATTCAAATCAGTAAAATCAAAAATTGAAAGTACAAGATGCATTGATTATTCCATCCCTAGGTTTGCAGGACATTTAAACTAATATCCCTGAATGCACTAAAGCCTAGTTTTCACTAGCACATAAGCACAAGTGATAACACAAAGCAAAACATATTCTCAAGAGATTGGATGAAATAAAAGAAAAAGGATTTTCTTTTCAATTTGTTTTTGTTATACTGCTTTTGCCAAGTTGCTGTGCTTATGCTTATGTTGATGCTTGTTTGAGTTGTTTCAGTGGCTTCCTTGCCTTCTTCTGTATATTCTTTTGTCTTTGTTTGTCCTTTATGTCGCCAGTAAAAACCAGGCTTTAATAAAACCATCTATAAAAACAGAATTTAACAGATGCACAATCAAACGCTTCTTTAAGTTAGATAAAATTTTAATGACTGAAGTGAAGGAAGCATTCGATTGTAAGCAATGCAAGCAATAAAACACTTCCATGAACCTAGCTCAGCGGAGTTTTTTAATGCGACAGATACCCTCAGGTAAGCCTGCTTAACTTGGTACATGCGCTTTAAAAGTGAAGACAGTGTACAGAGAACAGTGAACTGAAGTGACAGAGAACTGAAAGAACCGTTTATATTTTTTTTAAATTTAACCAGACAAATTTCATTGTTTTTTCTTATTTTTTTATTGAATTTTGACAAACGGACCTCACGAATTTATGGCGAGGATGTACGTGCATGAAATTCACGCCCCCATATTTTGCGAGCATGTGTTCTTACTACATAGAGAACGCGCCGATGTCATATCGGCATTGCATTTCAAAAGAAACTAGCAAATCTGGTATATATGTTCGTTCATTCTTCTCATTTTCAAAATGTATCTTCTCTCCTTGATGAACGGCAATAAAACTTGCGCACAATAAATAAGTCATAAGTAAAACAAGCAACAAAATTATATTCACTCTTTCAACAACTGAAAGAAAAATTTATTGTGAATGTAATGGCAACGTAGAAAAGGCCTGCGCTACTTACAAATCACATGATGAAGCATGTAAATTTACATTTTGAAAACATTTTCTTGAGTAAAAAAATAAAATAAAATACGATATAAAATGAACTATAAAATTTTAATCAACAAAATTATCAAATCAATGAGATTACTGACTGAACTAATACAAAACCTGGACTAATGCGGGAATAAAAAGCAACAGATATGATGAGATTCGTTTTGCATGAACGAAATTGTTGTTCTGAATCTGAAAGTTTTTCCTTCTCGATGTCGATTCTTTAAGACCATTCAATGGTGCATTCTTTCTTTATTGATGATCAGCATCTTTCTAGTAAATATTGTTTTAAAATTTAAAATGTTTTATTTTATAATATCCAATTGTCATCTTGTTTAATCATGGAATCACTGATTTCGTATTGATCATTCACCATTTTTCACAAAACCTTTTCTCGGCAATGGTTGATAATCATTACTTTTCATCTCCTTCCTACTGCCTGCAAGTCCTTTCATGGATACATATTGTTCACCTTTATCTTCGTTGATTCTTAAACTACTGAAACAAGAATTTTGGTATATAGGTTCCTCATATCCAGAAGGGCGAGGTTCAAAACTGATTTTCACAGCATGTTCGTGTTCCCGTCTCGGTTCTTCATAAAACTGATTCAAACTTTGATGTGATTGAGACTCGAGTATGAATTCATTGCCAGATAAGTTTGTTGTGTCATATCGTAAGTTGGTTTCAGAGTTTTGATCTATGGAAAGATATATCAAAAACTGCCGTTTTTAGTGGCATTTCAATTTGCATGGATACTATTTTAATACGTGGCACGATTTGTGATTTTTCAAAACTAACATTGTTATAAAGCTCTCGGGATATGAAGAGTTACAGTTATGATGTTCTATGATATGGCAAGCGTTACTTCCGACAAAATGGCGCGTTTAGATTGGCTCAGAAACATTCTTGCCGGTTGATGATTATCCCGTAATCGATCACGGTCCAAAACGCGTAATTTTACAGTCAAATGCAAACAAACTTCGTAAAGCAAACAGCAAAACCCAAAACAAATAAAAAAAAACATTTACGAATGTGATTCCAAGGAAAAACATTCGGAAAACAGTTTAACTATACAGACGATACAATTTGAAACGATTTCTGTTTTGATTGACAAAAACTAGAAAAGTGAAAGTCAACCCGTACAAAACAGCAAAAACGAGAAAAAAAGCAAGCTTCGTTTCAGGTCAAATATTGCCATATAATAAACCTATTAATAACCTCGCTTTCTCGGTCTTTACTGAGAAATATTGGACCTCTGCCTTTTTGTACAAAAACACATCGGTGCAATATTTCTCTGTAAAGATCTCGAGCTCAGTTATTAAGGGCTCAATACTTTTGACGAACGTTTTCAACGCAAGTTTCAAAAGCACAAAGTAAAGGTCTTTGTACCTCACGACTGTGTGTCTGAGTAAAAGATGGTATTATATTCACATTATAATACCATTGTTATTTGAATAGCTGATGTACATCTTTTTGTTGAAAAATGAGAAGGAATTAGGATGTTACTATACCTTGGTTCAACATGCAAGCTGGCTTTCGTTGGTCTATTGCTTGACAAGATGTTTTCTAAATAATCGTTTATAGATGCAATAAGATCGCTTGGCATTTGTTACAAAGTATTTAACATCATCATTCTTTGACTACGTTTTCACTACTCCAGGTCAGTCTGAAAACGGCTTAAAAAAAGTAACAGAACCGGGTTGAGTTCATACTGCACCGGAGCGGAATTTTTAGAAAACGTCACTTTTCCGGAGCGATACCATCACATTTTCTAAACGAGGTCGAACAAAAACGAAGCACTACGCATTGTCGTGCAAACTGCTAACCTTAAATATTTAGCTACACTTTAGATACCAGTTGTCTTTAATTCGTAGTGCATTGTAGCGTATAATGAAAAAGGTGATCTTTTTATGTTTTCGTAATGAATGACACCGTTATAATTCTTACAAAGGTTTTTTATGACCTATGGCTAGAGATATAAACACGTAGCAATTTGCAAATAAGAAATGGCGTTATCTTTCACAAACAACTAACGAATTTTGACAACAAGAGACATTAAGTATAAACTAAACACCCGCAAAACTGTAGTGGAATTTAAAGAGATCAGTGTAAACGCATTTAAATATTGCCATCACTTTTTCGCTACGGCGTAGTGTAAACGTAGTCTTAAATCAAAGGAGCTTTTTATTTTCTGTTAAGAGGCACTATCTTCTCATGTACAAAAAATGTTTGGGTAGGGGGAGAGGGGAAGGGCATTTTCCCCCAATACCCCGCACGTTTCTGCGGCCCCTGTCCAGCACCGTTTAAAAGACTTTGACTGCTTCAACGGAAAATGTCGATTGTATTTGCTGACATACCATTTTCTTGTTTTTCTTATGACGATAACATAAAAAGAGAATACAAAACAACAACAAAATCGGCACTGTTGCGCAGGGAATCACAATCTTTATAAATTTTCCACCAAATTTGTGTGAAGTACCTGAAGATGCTAGAAAATAAATGTAAAGAAGTCCTTCAGCAACCAAATGTAAAACATAAGATTTTAAGATTGATACATTTTGCTATCTTCAGCCTAGTTCATTCAAGTGAGAAAAAAAAAGATAATTTTCTTTATCCCCATGCTATAGCTATAATATACAATTATCCAATCAAAAGAAAGTGTAGTCATTGATTATTTTATCAAAGAGACATGCTTTTGAAATCGTATCATGACGTCTTTAACACCGTAGCAGAAACCAAGCTATCATAAAATAGTCAAAAGTTATCATGAATATTTATTTTTTTTACATTTGGTAAAATTTAAAATTTATATTTATTTTTTTTACATTTGGTAAAATCGTTTTGTTAAAACAAGATCCTGCATTACAGTCTAAAATCGAAAAGGGTTTCATAAAACCAAATAAGTTGATGTTCATACGATAAACTTTATTCAATTACCTTACAGCAGACACGGCACTGTGGATAAGTCTGACGAAATGCATCGTGTTTTTAATTTTATAGCTACATATATCTTTATTTTTGTTTTCAACAGTTTTTTAAGGACAACTCAATTGTGATTAACCATGAAAAATATACTGTTCAGAGCAATATTTGAATATGCTTTTAGCAAAATTTTAAATGCAGGTAACTGGGGCTGCAGTTTGACTATTTCTCAAATCAAAAAAACAAAGAAATAATTTAACAACTTTATTTCCATTATTCAACCTACCTTCAATGCATTGTGTCTTGTCAATAGCTCCAGTTTCTATGGTGATCTTGTTCATTCCACACGTAAAACATTTTGTTTTTCCTGTCTGTGGTTGATAACTATTTTTTTTACATTTGGTACAATTTAAGGTCGTTTTGTTAAAATAAGAACCTGGATCACAGTCTAAAATCAAAAAACTGTTTAATTAAACTGAATTGTTATGATGTTTACCATGAACTTCAACTCACTTTGAATACAATCTGACTGAAAAACTTTTCCTTCCTTCTCTGTGATTGGTAGATTTATTGGACAAACGTCACATGTGATCTGTCCTTTATTCTCTTGCGTCGAGTTTCGTGGACATTTTGTACAAACCATCTCAGACAAATTAAAGTAATGACCTGGACGACATTCTAAAAACAAAGCGAGTTAACTGTTGATGATATGAACAACAGATCCACGAAATACTGAGGATAAACACACCTTCTTTGCAGTCAGTTATATTAACGTGAGGATCATTTGTGTACGTTATTGTACCATGTGGACATTGGTTACATTGAATCTGTTTTTTCATTGGTTGATAAGTGTTTTTAGGACAAGGAACACAATCTGATTGGTTGAAATTGTACATGTATCCAGAATTGCAATCTACAAAAACAAATTAATATTTTAAAATTGCATATTAACGAATTATTATATGATCAATTTTCTTTAAACTATAAATGATAATACGAATTTACAACATGTACAAACTGAAAGAGAGCTTCTTGTGGTGGTTTACGGTTTGGAGAAAATTTATCACCATACTTAAACACTGCGACGCAATGGCTAGGCCTCTTCAATTGGTGCTTATGGGAAAGGGAAACAACCAGTAATGAATAAAGTGAGGTGAATGAACATGTCCAACAGTGAAAAAAGAGGAAGAGTATTTATATTGGCCAGTAATGAGTATAGGTGAAATCTGATGTTTGAGGAGTGGCGCACCCCCCGCACCGCCCAGTAAATCTGTACATGGAAAATCACAGGAGTAAATAGTTTCTAGCTACTGCACCATAAAATTCATAAAGAAAATCAACAACATGCATTGTCTCAGAGTGAAGCGTAGAAAGACATGAAAGAAATACGTATTTTTACAAAATAACATGAAATATCAGTATGTTTTCAAATCTAGCCGTGCAAACAAGGTCTGCACAACTTTTTAAATTGTTCCTTTTATTAGAAAATCTAAGAAAAAGCTAAAAAATATTTTAATGATATTGAACGCTTAGCACTGAAGTGTAACATTACCTTTTATACATTCTTGTTCACTCACTGCGCCAACATTGATGGTACCTTTACCATCATTACAGGTAAGACAACGAGTTTGATTTGTGTATGGTTGATATGTAGAAGTTGGACATTTCTCACATTTCTTGCTTTGAAACAAAAAGAATGAACCAATGGAACAATCTAAATATAAAAGATCATTTAAAATAAAACTTTATTGATTATTGATTGACATATGGCAAGAGACAGTTTCATGTTTGTGGATGTAGATCGTCCAGGTTAGTAGAGTCCTGGGAATGACTGTTGGTATTGAAATTGACTGACATTTCTACAACCTTAGCAGTAGTCATGTTCAGAGTCAAAAATGAATGATTCAGTCAGCTTCCTTTCCTTTATTTCATGTAAATTAACCAGAAAAAAAGTTTCATGAAAAGTTATTACATTTTCCTGTCTTTCAGAGACAAAAAAATCAATCACTAGAGTAATTGAGCAAAACACTTAACAATCATGTAAGTTAAATGTAGATATGATCTTCACACTTTGCTGGACAATTTTAAGCAATTGTCTCGTGAACCTGAAAATTCAGGTGACTCAACAGGATTCGAACCCATGACCTCTGCAGTGCCGGTGCAGTGCTCTGACCAACTGAGCTATGAAGTCACACAGTGGTGAGCAGGTCAATTATGTTGGGCTCATGTTTTCTTGTGAAAGGAATGTCATATGAAAGATTGTCATATAAAACAATCAATTGACCTGCTCACCACTGAGTGACTTCATAGCTCAGTTGGTTAGAGCACTACACTGGCACCGCAGAGGTCATGGGTTCGAATCCTGTTGAGTCATCTGAATTTTTCAGGTTCATGAGACAATTGCTTAAAATTGTCCAGCAAAGTGCGAAGATCATGTCTACATTAAATTTCAAACATCGCACTGCATAAAACAATCTTTCATATAATCCTGTAAGTATGAAAAAATACTTACTAAAAACATTACTAGGAGTGGCTATCTTTGGTATTGTTTCACAGTGCTCAGAGGTAAAAGCAAGATTAGCAAGTGATGTAAAACTGCCATGATCTGTAACGCTTTCAATGATTAACTATTGTAAAGTAAAAACAAATAAACTATGTATCACAAATTGACAAAGTTCAATTAAGTCCTATAAATATTTCTAATTTATATACCAACCCTAGATAGACCCATGGTAAAATTAACTGTGACTTGGCCTTTTTTCCACTCGTTTCCTTCATCACCACTTAATGACCACAGTAAACGATTGTATCCATTGTGAAAATATTCTTGGTAAATATTTAAAATTAACAAAACACTTCTATTCATGTAATACAAAAATGAAAAGCACACGAGAGAGTCATTTTGATAATTTCCCACCAACCAAGCTTTGCCTGGCGAATAGAATCGTCCTCGAGAATAAAGATATCGCCCTATAACACATAAAAAAGTAAGATATATGTAAACCATACATGTAATATATAAAGAATGTGTATTTGTTGAACAAAGCTGAGTTTCTATTTAAAAACACAATTCAGATCGAGTGTCTCCAAGAACTCTGTATCCACCCAATGGAACAAAGCAACCTTTCTTAAATATTCGGCCTAATATCTATTCAGGTTTGTACAAAACTAACAGCTAAAACCCTTGGCCAAATCATCGTAATATAAGGGCCTCATATTGTTAACCAAACAAATTGTAATTGATGTTTGTGGTCAAGTGAAAAGTTTTTAATTGTGTTATATCTTGAGCTTTTTATTTTGGAAAATCTTTTGCCAAAGCGATCATCAATCGAGTTCATGCTAACTTCCGCATAAATAGATGACAACAGGCAATCATTCAAGTTAGGGCAACGTTGTTTTGTAGTTAATATTTCTCAACAATATATTCATAAGATTGTGCTCCAATACAAAGCAAACTTAAGTATTTGAACAATAAAACTGCACTGTAATCTCATTTATACACAAAATTTTTCTAACCTTACGAAAGTTTCGCAATCATGTTGCCTTAATATCACAAATTTGCCAATACTTGTGATATTAAGATTTATTGTCACGAATGACCTTCTGAAAGATCTTTAAAGATGAACTTGTTGAAGCCTAATGCCTGCTGTTATTATGCTCTAGTTTGACTCAACATTTTTTGTCTTTAAGAATAAAGTATTTGTTAAAATATTTACGTCATTATCAAAATATTTCTACGTCATTATTAAAATATTTCAACGTCATTGTTAAAATATCTCTACGTCATTGTTAAAGTATTTCTACGTCATTATAGAAATATTTCTACGTCGTAGTTGACTGATGAATACTGAGGATTCTAAAAATTATTATACAGACCAAAGTCAGGCACGACAAAGAAGGGGAGCTGGGGTTGAGCCCCCATATTTTTCACAAAATAAAGTTTTTGCTGACATTTATACATTTTAGCTTAACTTGAGGTAAATAAGATCGAAAAAATTTAGTAAATATTAGTCATTGCCTCCCCGCGGTTCAATTCTGTGGTAACTTTCCTGAAACTGCTTGATTGCTTTTTACAAACAAAAATGGTGTTTTCACTTTTTACAGTAAAAAAGATGTTTCTTCTTCACATATATGTTTTTTTTGGATTGCAATGTCAAAGTAAAAGCTTAATGCTGTGAAAATGACATCGACAAAGCAGTTGTGTTTATAAAACGTATAAAAATATAAATGCAGTAATTTTTCATATTTCATGTTGGACAACTATATTAAAAATTAATGAAAAATTTTGAATTTTACCATTCAAAATCAATGACAAAATATTCTTGTAATCTTGTTTACAATGTGAAAACACAAGTAATATAGGCAAGAGTATAAATTATATAACAATATATACATATAGATCACGCCTTCGGCAATCGAAATGTATCGGTTCATAAAAAAGCGAGATCAGACCTCGCATTTGTAGGGACTACCCACAAAAAAACAGTCTGTTTTATGTTTCAGAACTTACCAAACGTCGATGCGGTGGAATTAAAATCTGAGAGAGTCCAATCGTCATCATCAACTCCCTCAACATTGTCCCATGGACATAAACTCGTAGCCAGGCCATGTTCAAAGACACAGATTTTAGACTGATTCGCTAGAGAAAAAAGGGTTTTCTTTTAATTCTGTTTTGTATAAGACTAATTTTCACCGTCCACGTAAGCGAAAACGTGCATCAATGCAAACTTCAGCAATAATTTCTGTTTTTACTGAGAAAAATACGCGCGATAAACAAAGATGAACAAAATTCTCAGTTCTTAGTATAACGCTTACTTCGCAAGCAAATTTAAAGCTTTAAGGCATTTCCCCCCTTTCCTTTGTGTAAGAGATCGCACGAAATATATTTGACATAAGAGCTGGTTATTAAAGAAAATAAAATAGGAATTTAAAGAGTGCACAAACTAAAGCATGCATCGTTAGCAAAAATTTATCTTACCCAGGGCCCTCCATCAAATAAATGCATGAATATTTTTTAAAATGTTATTATCATAAAAAAATAATGAGTGCATGTTTAGCTGTAACTGCATGAGAAACTATACTAGTACTTGCCAAAAATACACTTAGAGATATTTAGCAAAACGCTGTCTACCTTTCGCATTAGAAAACCACGTTGCGCAGCCCAACTTAGACTAAACATTTACCACAAAAACAGTATTTGCTACCTGCTAATGTGTTTTTATTTATTGCATTGTTTTGTAATTTTTGAATTTCAAATGATTGCAATCGTGGAAATCTTTGTATAATTACAACTGCCGCTATGTTTTTTTACAGAATTGAAATAAGTTTGTCTGGATTTCCAGCCAATCAGTCACAGTACATGTTAGCAAACAAACATTGATTTTAAAAATTCCGGATTTAAAGTACTAAAAATAGTAACTAAAATGAAGAAATATTACTTACATGTCAGACATTCTACACCAGCATCTCCACTATGTCCACAATAGTGTGTTCCCCATCCACCATGTGTACAACTAGATACTTTAACTTCTGAACCTGTACAACCAACATTATCTAACCAAATCTTTCCACTACCATCTGGAATAGAACTTCCTTGTAAAGCCATTACTGCTCTACCATAACCAAGTTGACGACATGCAACCATAGCATCTTGAAAATCCCAATGATTGTCACAAATAGTGCCCCATTGTTCTTTATGGAAAATTTCTACACGACCAATTCCTTCGCTACTTCTTGGTCCTTGAAGTCGCACTGGCTCATTTCAAAAAATTAATTTTGTTTACAAAGTTGTTAAGTAAGCAAGGTTTTCAATATTTATGTTACAGCAAAGTTAGCAAACACCGACTGATTTTAAAATTCCTTAATTTATATGCTACAAATAGTAACTAAGAAGCATAAAATTACTTACATGTTAGACATTCTACACCAGCATCTTCTTTATGTCCACAATTGTGTCTTTCCCATCCACCATGTGAGCAACTAGATACATTAACTTCTGAACCCGTACAAGCAACATTTTCTAACCATATCTTTCCAGTACCACCAGGAACAGAGCTTCCTTGTAAAGCTTTTACTGCACTACCATAACCAAGTTGACGACATGCAACCATAGCATCTCGCAAATCCCAACCATCGTCACAAATTGTGCCCCATTCTCCATTGTAGAAAATTTCTACCCGACCAATTCCTTCCCTGCTTCTTGGTCCTTGAAGTCGCACTGGCTCATTTAAAAAAATCGTTTTGTTTACAAAGTTGTTAGTTAAGAAAGGTTTTCAATTTTATATTGGAGCAAACACATATTGACTTCGAAATTTCTTAATTTCATTACAATAAAAAGTTTATGAGAAGTTAAAAATTACTTACATGTTAGGCATTCTACACCAGCATCTTCACTATGTCCGCAATTGTGTGTTCCCCATCCATTATGTGTACAACTAGATACATTAACTTCTGAACCTGTACAATCAACATTATCTAACCATATCTTTCCACGACCATCAGGAACAGAGCTTCCTTGTAAAGCCTTTACTGCACTACCATAACCAAGTTGCCGACATGCAACCATAGCATCTTGAAAATCCCAACTATCGTCACAAATTGTGCCCCATTCTCCATTGTAAAAAATTTCTATTCGACCAATTCCTTCCATGCTTCTTTGTCCTTGAAGTCGCACTGGCTCATTTAAAAAAATCGTTTTGTTTACAAAGTTGTTAGTTAAGAAAGGTTTTCAATTTTATATTGGAGCAAACACATATTGACTTCGAAATTTCTTAATTTCATTACAATAAAAAGTTTATGAGAAGTTAAAAATTACTTACATGTTACGCATTCTACACCAGCATCTTCACTATGTCCACAATTGTGTGTTCCCCATCCATTATTTGTACAACTAGATACATTAACTTCTGAACCTGTACAATCAACATTATCTAACCATATCTTTCCACGACCATCAGGAACAGAACTTCCTTGTAAAGCCATTACTGCTCTACCATAACCAAGTTGACGACATGCAACCATAGCATCTTGAAAATCCCAATGATTGTCACAAATAGTGCCCCATTGTTCTTTATGGAAAATTTCTACACGACCAATTCCTTCGCTACTTCTTGGTCCTTGAAGTCGCACTGGCTCATTTCAAAAAATTAATTTTGTTTACAAAGTTGTTAAGTAAGCAAGGTTTTCAATATTTATGTTACAACAAAGTTAGCAAACACCGACTGATTTTAAAATTCCTTAATTTATATGCTACAAATAGTAACTAAGAAGCATAAAAATTACTTACATGTTAGACATTCTACACCAGCATCTTCTTTATGTCCACAATTGTGTCTTTCCCATCCACCATGTGAGCAACTAGATACATTAACTTCTGAACCCGTACAAGCAACATTATCTAACCATATCTTTCCACTACCACCAGGAACAGAGCTTCCTTGTAAAGCTTTTACTGCACTACCATAACCAAGTTGACGACATGCAACCATAGCATCTCGCAAATCCCAACCATCGTCACAAATTGTGCCCCATTCTCCATTGTAGAAAATTTCTACCCGACCAATTCCTTCCTGCTTCTTGGTCCTTGAAGTCGCACTGGCTCATTTAAAAAATCGTTTTGTTTACAAAGTTGTTAGTTAAGAAAGGTTTTCAATTTTATATTGGAGCAAACACATATTGACTTCGAAATTTCTTAATTTCATTACAATAAAAAGTTTATGAGAAGTTGAAAATTACTTACATGTTAGGCATTCTACACCAGCATCTTCACTATGTCTGCAATTGTGTGTTCCCCATCCATTATGTGTACAACTAGATACATTAACTTCTGAACCTGTACAATCAACATTATCTAACCATATCTTTCCACGACCATCAGGAACAGAACTTCCTTGTAAAGCCTTTACTGCACTACCATAACCAAGTTGCCGACATGCAACCATAGCATCTTGAAAATCCCAACTATCGTCACAAATTGTGCCCCATTCTCCATTGTAAAAAATTTCTATTCGACCAATTCCTTCCATGCTTCTTTGTCCTTGAAGTCGCACTGGCTCATTTAAAAAAATCGTTTTGTTTACAAAGTTGTTAGTTAAGAAAGGTTTTCAATTTTATATTGGAGCAAACACATATTGACTTCGAAATTTCTTAATTTCATTACAATAAAAGTTTATGAGAAGTTAAAATTACTTACATGTTAGGCATTCTACACCAGCATCTTCACTATGTCCACAATTGTGTGTTCCCCATCCATTATGTGTACAACTAGATACATTAACTTCTGAACCTGTACAATCAACATTATCTAACCATATCTTTCCACGACCATCAGGAACAGAACTTCCTTGTAAAGCCATTACTGCTCTACCATAACCAAGTTGACGACATGCAACCATAGCATCTTGAAAATCCCAATGATTGTCACAAACAGTGCCCCATTGTTCTTTATGGAAAATTTCTACACGACCAATTCCTTCGCTACTTATTGGTCCTTGAAGTCGCACTGGCTCATTTCAAAAAATTAATTTTGTTTACAAAGTTGTTAAGTAAGCAAGGTTTTCAATATTTATGTTACAGCAAAGTTAGCAAACACCAACTGATTTTAAAATTCCTTAATTTATATGCTACAAATAGTAACTAAGAAGCATAAAAATTACTTACATGTTAGACATTCTACACCAGCATCTTCTTTATGTCCACAATTGTGTCTTTCCCATCCACCATGTGAGCAACTAGATACATTAACTTCTGAACCCGTACAAGCAACATTATCTAACCATATCTTTCCACTACCACCAGGAACAGAACTTCCTTGTAAAGCTTTTACTGCACTACCATAACCAAGTTGACGACATGCAACCATAGCATCTCGCAAATCCCAACCATCGTCACAAATTGTGCCCCATTCTCCATTGTAGAAAATTTCTACCCGACCAATTCCTTCCTGCTTCTTGGTCCTTGAAGTCGCACTGGCTCATTTAAAAAATCGTTTTGTTTACAAAGTTGTTAGTTAAGAAAGGTTTTCAATTTTATATTGGAGCAAATACATATTGACTTCGAAATTTCTTAATTTCATTACAATAAAAAGTTTATGAGAAGTTAAAAATTACTTACATGTTAGGCATTCTACACCAGCATCTTCACTATGTCCGCAATTGTGTGTTCCCCATCCATTATGTGTACAACTAGATACATTAACTTCTGAACCTGTACAATCAACATTATCTAACCATATCTTTCCACGACCATCAGGAACAGAACTTCCTTGTAAAGCCTTTACTGCACTACCATAACCAAGTTGCCGACATGCAACCATAGCATCTTGAAAATCCCAACTATCGTCACAAATTGTGCCCCATTCTCCATTGTAAAAAATTTCTATTCGACCAATTCCTTCCATGCTTCTTTGTCCTTGAAGTCGCACTGGCTCATTTAAAAAAATCGTTTTGTTTACAAAGTTGTTAGTTAAGAAAGGTTTTCAATTTTATATTGGAGCAAACACATATTGACTTCGAAATTTCTTAATTTCATTACAATAAAAAGTTTATGAGAAGTTAAAAATTACTTACATGTTACGCATTCTACACCAGCATCTTCACTATGTCCACAATTGTGTGTTCCCCATCCATTATTTGTACAACTAGATACATTAACTTCTGAACCTGTACAATCAACATTATCTAACCATATCTTTCCACGACCATCAGGAACAGAACTTCCTTGTAAAGCCATTACTGCTCTACCATAACCAAGTTGACGACATGCAACCATAGCATCTTGAAAATCCCAATGATTGTCACAAATAGTGCCCCATTGTTCTTTATGGAAAATTTCTACACGACCAATTCCTTCGCTACTTCTTGGTCCTTGAAGTCGCACTGGCTCATTTCAAAAAATTAATTTTGTTTACAAAGTTGTTAAGTAAGCAAGGTTTTCAATATTTATGTTACAACAAAGTTAGCAAACACCGACTGATTTTAAAATTCCTTAATTTATATGCTACAAATAGTAACTAAGAAGCATAAAAATTACTTACATGTTAGACATTCTACACCAGCATCTTCTTTATGTCCACAATTGTGTCTTTCCCATCCACCATGTGAGCAACTAGATACATTAACTTCTGAACCCGTACAAGCAACATTATCTAACCATATCTTTCCAGTACCACCAGGAACAGAGCTTCCTTGTAAAGCTTTTACTGCACTACCATAACCAAGTTGACGACATGCAACCATAGCATCTCGCAAATCCCAACTATCGTCACAAATTGTGCCCCATTCTCCATTGTAGAAAATTTCTACCCGACCAATTCCTTCCCTGCTTCTTGGTCCTTGAAGTCGCACTGGCTCATTTAAAAAAATCGTTTTGTTTACAAAGTTGTTAGTTAAGAAAGGTTTTCAATTTTATATTGGAGCAAACACATATTGACTTCGAAATTTCTTAATTTCATTACAATAAAAAGTTTATGAGAAGTTAAAAATTACTTACATGTTACGCATTCTACACCAGCATCTTCACTATGTCCACAATTGTGTGTTCCCCATCCATTATTTGTACAACTAGATACATTAACTTCTGAACCTGTACAATCAACATTATCTAACCATATCTTTCCACGACCATCAGGAACAGAACTTCCTTGTAAAGCCATTACTGCTCTACCATAACCAAGTTGACGACATGCAACCATAGCATCTTGAAAATCCCAATGATTGTCACAAATAGTGCCCCATTGTTCTTTATGGAAAATTTCTACACGACCAATTCCTTCGCTACTTCTTGGTCCTTGAAGTCGCACTGGCTCATTTCAAAAAATTAATTTTGTTTACAAAGTTGTTAAGTAAGCAAGGTTTTCAATATTTATGTTACAGCAAAGTTAGCAAACACCGACTGATTTTAAAATTCCTTAATTTATATGCTACAAATAGTAACTAAGAAGCATAAAAATTACTTACATGTTAGACATTCTACACCAGCATCTTCTTTATGTCCACAATTGTGTCTTTCCCATCCACCATGTGAGCAACTAGATACATTAACTTCTGAACCCGTACAAGCAACATTTTCTAACCATATCTTTCCAGTACCACCAGGAACAGAGCTTCCTTGTAAAGCTTTTACTGCACTACCATAACCAAGTTGACGACATGCAACCATAGCATCTCGCAAATCCCAACCATCGTCACAAATTGTGCCCCATTCTCCATTGTAGAAAATTTCTACCCGACCAATTCCTTCCCTGCTTTTTGGTCCTTGAAGTCGCACTGGCTCATTTAAAAAAATCGTTTTGTTTACAAAGTTGTTAGTTAAGAAAGGTTTTCAATTTTATATTGGAGCAAACACATATTGACTTCGAAATTTCTTAATTTCATTACAATAAAAAGTTTATGAGAAGTTAAAAATTACTTACATGTTAGGCATTCTACACCAGCATCTTCACTATGTCCGCAATTGTGTGTTCCCCATCCATTATGTGTACAACTAGATACATTAACTTCTAAACCTGTACAATCAACATTATCTAACCATATCTTTCCACGACCATCAGGAACAGAACTTCCTTGTAAAGCCTTTACTGCACTACCATAACCAAGTTGCCGACATGCAACCATAGCATCTTGAAAATCCCAACTATCGTCACAAATTGTGCCCCATTCTCCATTGTAAAAAATTTCTATTCGACCAATTCCTTCCATGCTTCTTTGTCCTTGAAGTCGCACTGGTTCGTCTAAAAATGGTTATTGAGCTTGTATTGATTTATATTGCAATAAGATCTTATTAAACCACAGATTCGCATAACGCTTGGCAATTTGGATCGTATGACTATTTTAAACAGGAGAAAAGTTTACTTACATGTTAGACATTCTACACCAGCATCTTCACTATGTCCACAATCGTGTTTTTCCCATCCATTGTGTGCACAACTAGATACATTAACTTCTGAACCCGTACAACCAACATTATCTAACCATATCTTTCCACTACCATCTGGAACTGAGCTTCCTTGTAAAGCTTTTACTGCACTACCATAACCAAGTTGACGACATGCAACCATAGCATCTTGCAAACCCCATCCATCGTCACAAATTGTGCCCCATTCTCCATTGTAGAAAATTTCTAGACGACCAATCCCTTCGCTGCTTCTTGCTCCTCGAAGTCGAACTGGCTCGTCTGAAAAAATTATTTTAAATTTCACAGTTGTTAAGAAACCAATGTGTTCAATGTTTATGTTACAGAAAAGTTAGCAAACACAGATTGATTTTTAATTTTTTAATATAAGTGCAACAAATAGTTACTAAAATAAAGAAAAATTACTTACATGTCAGACATTCTACACCAGCATCTTCATTATGTCCACAGTCGTGTGTTCCCCATCCATTATGTGAACAACTAGATACATTAACTTCTGAACCTGTACAACCAACATTATCTAACCATATCTTTCCACGACCATCAGGAACAGAACTTCCTTGTAAAGCTTTTACTGCACTACCATAACCAAGTTGGCGACATGCAACCATAGCATCTTGCAAACCCCATCCATCGTCACAAATTGTGCCCCATTCTCCGTTGTAGAAAATTTCTAGACGACCAATCCCTTCACTGCTTCTTGGTCCTTGAAGTCGAACTGGCTCGTCTGAAAAAAATATTTTAAATTTCACAGTTGTTAAGAAACCAATGTGTTCAATGTTTATATTCCTGAAAAGTTAGCAAACACAGATTGATTTTTAATTTTTTAATATAAATGCAACAAATAGTTACTAAAAAGTAGAAAAAATACCTACATGTAAGACATTCTACACCGGCATCTTCACTATGTCCACAATTGTGTGATTCCCATCCACCATGTGAGCAACTAGATACATTAACTTCTGAACCCGTACAACAACATCATCTAACCATATTTTCCACTACCATCAGGAACAGAGTTTCCTTGTAAAGCTTTTACTGCACTAACCAAGTTGACGACAAGCAACTGCAGCATCTTGCAAATCCCAACCATCGTCACAAATTGTGCCCCATTCTCCATTGTAGAAAATTTCTAGACGACCAATCCCTTCGCTGCTTCTTGGTCCTTGAAGTCGAACTGGCTCGTCTGAAAAAGTTATTTTAAATTTCACAGTTGTTAAGTAACCAATGTGTTCAATGTTTATGTTCTAGAAAAGTTAGCAAACACAAATTGATTTTAAATTTTTTAATATAAATGCTACAAATAGTTACTACAAAGTAGAAAAATACCTACATGTTAGACATTCTACACCAGCATCTTCACTATGTCCACAATTGTGTGATTCCCATCCATTATGTGAACAACTAGATACATTAACTTCTGAACCCGTACAAACAACATTATCTAACCATATCTTTCCACTGCCATCAGGAACAGAACTTCCTTGTAAAGCCTTTACAGCACTACTATAACCAAGTTGACGACATACAACCATAGCATCTTGCAAATCCCAATCATCGTCACAAATTGTGCCCCATTTTCCATTGTAAAAAATTTCTATTCGACCAATTCCTTCCCTGCTTCTTGGTCCTTGAAGTCGAACTGGTTTGGCTGAGAAAATTAATTTAGTTTTTAAAGTTGTTATGTAAACAAGGTGTTCAATGTTTATGCTAAAGAAAAAAGTGCAATTGCTTATATTCACAGAACAATTACACAGTTTTACAGTGCAGTTAACTGATTAGAACTTTCGTACAGTGCAATTACCGATTTTCAACGTGTAGTAAGAGCGTTTCACAGTGCACTTGCATATTTTTGCATTGCAATTGATTACAAATTGACAATTATAAACTCTTACTAACCGAGTTTAGTTCTTTATGGAAAATGTCCTTTTTAAGTTTGCACTTGTTTTGACCAAATGATAAAAGCATAGTGTCATTTTAAAAGTCAGTTTTTGTAATAGTTAATGTCCTTTTCCTAAATATTTTTCTATATGTGCCCTTTTTACGTCACTTAGTCCTTTGCAGCCATAAATCTATCAACAACCACCATGAGCAGATTTATGTACGCTTAGCGTACTTGTTTTTATGTACAGTGCATTTACAGGTTTTCACAGTGCATCAGCAATTACAGATAAACTTCACTGCAATGAACCAACAGTATAGAAATATCTCAAACTCAAAGTATATAGTTATTATAAACTTTACGTTTTATTCTTTGTTCATATCATCAAAAACAATCTTTCCATGTGAGAAGGTGAAGATTTATACAAAAATTCATACCTTGTGATAACGTAGTACTGACTAACAGGAAAACTATGAACTTTATCATTGTAAGTGAATTGCTGAAAGGGAAAATGAACAAAACATGTTAGATGGTTAAGCATTTCGTCGTCATTTTTTGAGCAATTTTGTCACCTTGTAGTTAAAGTTTCAATTGCTCTGTATATGTAACCTAAAGTCTCGTTAAAACGTTCAATTTTTCTTGCAAAAGCCACAACATCTGCTTCAACATATTCGTGAGTTAACAGGCTTACGTCAACATGTCATATACATTATTTAAATATGAGAACGAGTTTTATAATTTCACATGCAGAAGAATGAGAAAACTTCATCAAACACGATAACACGAACAAATGAACATGTCCACGAAATGTCTTGATAAAGCTAAACATCAGCAATAAGAAATTACTCATGTTTAAAGAAAAAACGATATTTAGCGAAACAAACACCAATTTTCCAAGGTCTTAACTATTTAGAAAAACTTTTTGGAGATGACTTCTTCAAAAGACTTCCTCTTCACCTTTCAGGTTTTTCAGGTTTCTTACCTCAACTTCCCCTTAAAGGTTTTTTACGTGTGAGGTGAATTTTCAGTGACTATGTTGAGTGCATAGGTTACCCTTTTTAAATTTAGACTTCTATAGAACCATGTAAAACGTGTAACCAGGCTGCGATTTGAAAAACAAAACTTATATAAAATAGCAGAGAAAACATTGTATAGTCAATATCAATAATAATGCCTTGTGGAAATCAAACTTTCGAATTAATATAATCAAACAACCTAAGAATTTGATTGAAATCAAATAAACAATAATAACAGTTTGAATTAGTTTGAATACAATTTCTTTTGGCTACTGCTTTAAATAATAAATACTTTCACAGAATTTGATTCCGCTTTTCAACTTCCTCAAGCAATGTTTGAAGGCATCAATTTCCTCAAGCAATGTTTGAAGGCATCAATACAACGCATGCGGTTTGAATTAAAAATAGTTAATTTATGCACAATATCAATAAATTATATTAACATCAGGAAACTAAAATAACGAAACTTGCAAAATCTTTTCACCCAAGTTGTACATTACATTTCGCACAGGATTGACTTCCTTAATCCAAAAGGATTAAATATAAACTCTCAGTGATATTTTAAACTATTGCAACATCAATAGTTTAAAATATCTATAAACTTTTAATACATTCTAACCTGGAGCTGGTATCTTTCAATATATAGCTTATCATCATTATCATCAAGGTTCCTATTTTCTTCCTCAATTCTTTTTATCAATAACTTTATTCAATATTCAATACAGGCTCTAAGTTCCCAATAAACTCGTTTTATTGCTGGACAGCGATAACCTCCAGCTGTTTTCAAAAATACTTCCGCAACTGTGCTGTGATCTGTTAACAATGATGATATACTGTATGTCAACTAGAATAAGTACGCCATATGCACTATCGTATCAGTCATGTGACTTTATGTAGCACTTATATTTGCATTTAATTTTGTTATCTTTCTATTTCTCTTGCGCTTGCAAACGCATGGTTTTGAAAAATGCTTATTGCGTCGTTTTTGCAAATAGTAAATATATCGTTTTTTTAGGATCCGGTTGCGTAGTAAGTTAACATGTTATGGGCCCAGGATGTGAAAATAAATAAGTAAATTGAGTGTTTTTCACAAACGATAATTTAATAAGTATCTAGAATGGCGGTAGCTTCATCAAATGCTTCGAGTTTGAGAGCGGACAAAGTATCGTTCATGGGCGCTTAATATCAGGCTGCATTTGCAAAGCATGTGGACCTATTTGAATTCGTTGATGATAAATTCAAAGTCTTAGCAAGAGGCCTGTCCACCCGTCTTTTGAACGGGACGGGAAAAATGATATAAAATGATATTGACGGAATGATATAAAACAAGTTAAAAGAACTCTAAGATTTTACCTTTTAAACTAATGCAGTATGAAGTGCAAAACTTGGCAAGCAGATACAAAATATTGTGATTTATGTAAGACTATTTAATTTATGAAAACATCGTCTAATTACACCAAACATAATGCACAACAACCGGATTATACAAAGTATTAGATAATAATGATGTTGTGTAACAAAACATAAATTCTGAGATAAAGCGTTCCTTTCCATGAAGCTAACTTTAAATACATTCTAACCTGGTGCTTATATCTTTCAATATATAGCCCATCATCATCATCATCAAAGTTCCTATATTTGTTCTCACTTCTTTCTATCAATAACTTTATTCAATGTTCAATACAGGCTCAAAATTCTCCAGTGAACTCTTTTAATTGCTGGACAGCGATAACCTCCAGCTGTTTTCAAAATACTTCCTCAACTGTGCTGTGATCTGTTAAAACTGATGAAATAATCTATGTCAACTAGAATAAGTACGCCCTATGCACTATCGCATCAGTCATGTGACTTTGTAGCACTTATATTTGCATTTAATTATCTTAACTTTCTATTTCTCTTGCGCTTGCAAACGCATGGTTTTGAAAAATGCTTATTGCGTCGTTTTTGCAAGTAATAAATACATCGTTTTAATGGGATCCAGTTGCGTAATAAGTTAACATGTTATGGGCCCAGGATGTGAAAACAAATAAATAAATTGAGTATTTTTCACAAAAGATGATTCAATAAGAATGGCGCTAGCTTCACCAAATGCTTTGAGTTTGAGTATAAGCGGCCCAAAAAATCACTTAAACAGTTATAAACAAACGACAATCTTCCCCATTCCAACGTAACAGACCGTGCGCCGCAAACTTTGTATTATTTATATACAATCAATTAATATAAAAGTTTACGGCGCACGGTCTGTTACGATGGAATGGGGAAAGTTATTGTTTGTTTATACCATTTAAGTGATTTTATGGCCGCCAATGGCTTGAACGCGGAAAGAGTATAGATTACGGGAGCTCAATATCAAGCTGTATTTGGAGAGCATATGAAACTATTTAAATTCGTTCATGGTATATAATCAAAGTCTTAGACAGAGGCCTGTCCACCCGTCTTTTGAACCGTCGTTTATGAAAGATGACTGGCAAAAATAAAACAAGTTAAAATAAACCTTAATAATTTACCTCTGTAATACCAAAAGCCAAAAATGTGGTTTCAATTTTTTTCAAAATATTTCGCATTATTTTTTGCGACGTATTATTACAGCGGCGCATACAAACAAAAGGAAAGCGTGTCAGCAAAACAAGGAAGTAAAATCAAAATGACTTTATAATACGATTTTGTTAATGCAAAATGCTCCACAAAAAGCGTTTGAAAAACTAACTGTCGATAGACTCCTTATTTAAAAGAATGAACAGTGACAGCAAATCCCAGTCAACATAAACATTTGGAGAGCCAGCTGAAGAAACCAGCTTTTCAATCTCAATAATGAAAGCGAATAAAACGGCGAAAGGATAAACATGTAAATATTTTTATTAATCATGGAACAACACAAAATCTCTGACCAAAAAATTGTTGGGGTTCAGGTCAGACGGGGCATCCGTTCTGGCAGAAGAAGTGGGAAAAGTTAATGCTCTATTGAAGAATAACAATCCTTTCTGCATTTTTGTCCACCGCATTTGTACCGTTTCCACTTGAACATATCAAAAGCATGCAAGATTAATCAGGATATGGCAACGCATACAAGAAATTCCAAGTGAAATATACAACTACGTCTAAAGTTCCGCATGTTGTCTATGGAAGAGTGTGTTTCGCTTTCTTATTCATTTTTCAAGTCTCTATAACATTTAAGGTTGCACTAAAACTGATCAATTGTATAAACAATTTACTCACCTTAAAATATTTTTTGTAATATTCCTCATCGTGACGTCCATAAGATATCATCTTCATTTTAAGTACACGATATTCATCCATTCCAATTGTTACTTCTGCAATAGTCTGAAAGAAGTGATTTCCGTAAACAGCAACACTTCCTGGTTCTCAACCAACTTTTAGTACTTTTTTCAGAACAAGGTCAGTAGCAAATGCTAGCAAGTATAAGAAAGAGCAATTTGAAATTAAATGAAGATATGATCTTCGCACTTTGCTTGACAATTTAAGCAATCGTCTCAGGAACCTGAACAAATCAGGTGACTCAACGGAATTCGAACCCATGACCTCTGCGGTCATGACCCGCACTGCATAAAACATTCAAAAGAGCAATTTGATTGCTAAAAGTACAAGATGTTCAGAAATTTTGAATCACATCGTGAGTCACAAACTGATTGTCGTTTGACGTCATTTTGTAGCATATTGATCATGGGAGATTTGTGTTCTACAATCAGCATTTTAAAACATGTGAAAGTCCCCGTAAATTTTATCTGACACTTT